ATATTTATATAGCCACATCTAACGGACACTTGTTATTGTTGATTGATAGTTAATGTGTGCCTTAAACCAGGCAGTTTTTTTTTTTTTTTTACATAGCTTGTACGTGTTAAATTATTACATAGACTATGTAAGAAAAAAAAATGTTAATAATAATAATATTTATCTCTAAATCATTGAACTGCCATCTATATCCTTGTAAAAGTTGTAAAATTTGTCTGATTACAATTTACAACAATAATTACATTTCTGAAAGTACTTGACTTGCCGACGGTGATAATTTTTGTATTCTAATGTGTAAACGTTACAATTATACATGTTAAGTTAGATCATTTTATACGACTAATGATCCATATCTTACTGGAACTATATGTAATTTAGCTACAAAAAATTTCAAACTATGCTATCTGATGTGCAACTTTCATACTAAAATATATTTTGTTGTTTATGAAGAAAATCCAAGTGTTAAAGTTAATTAAATATGTGATCTTTAATAATAACTAAATGTGTCCGTTAAAACTTATGTAATTAACGCTACGCATAATTTATTATATTTCATTAATTTGTGTATAATCAACAACCAATAATTATTGAACAAGATGTTTATAGTGAAAAGAAATAAGATTAAATTTATTCGTTATTATTATTTCAGACAATAAAACAATTATTTTCAGCTATAAATCAACATTTTTATATTTTATTATCGTCATATAATTTTAGAATTAATAAAACTGTGGAATAGTAAGAGATAAATACAGTAGATATTCCTGTGGTTTGTAATTAATCAAAAAGGAATCCTAACAGTAGTTAGGTAATACCTATTGTTACCCTACAGAGTTAACTTATCTGAACACTAGCTATGTTCTAAGCCTTGTGCAAATTGGCTTCTGAAATTTCTTCTTTTAACGAAAAAAGTATGACAATATTTTAAGTATTTATTTTTATGTTTTAAATATAATTTTAATTATTGCATAGTAGATCAAATTCAATTTTTTTATATCTGTTCAGTGATTATTGATGAAAACATAATAAATAAATAACGATGAGTACCTACCAAAACTTTTAAATTATTAGATACCTATGTTAATCTTGCTGGTTATTTCCTTTTTGAAAATCATTTTCTGAAAATTTATTTGTGAAATACGTAATTAAATTAATTTTATTTTTTAATTAGTTTATACCAATAATTGAACAAATTAATTATAAAATCATTTAAGTATCTGTAATTTACTCTTTTTTTTTTTATAATTAGTCATGGTAAAATTTTATTGTTATTTATTCTTCATCACATTACCTGAGTCTACACTTATAGATATGAGCGTAGGTAGTGCCCAAGTGTTGAAATATCACCTGATTTTTTGTAATTGACGCTTTAAAATTTATGTTTAAGGATAAATGGTAAGTATTTTTCTAATCTTACTTAATGAAATGTAATTTTTGCTAAAATATGTGGTACTATGTATAAAAAAAAAAAGCTAAAAATATTTTTTTTGAGTTGTGTGCAAAAACTTATCACATTATAATACCTAGCTAAAAGTTATAAATAGAAGTTCAAAAATTTTATGAATAAAAACAGAAACCATTTTCAAAAATAAATGTAGGTAATATTTTTTGAGAGTGGGACTATTACTAAACTATTTTATATGAGAAATTAGTATATTACTTAAATGCCGTAACGACCATTTTCCATCGATATAACTTTATTAGGTTTTACGTGATTTGTAAAATGCTCATATCTGTTCTTATAATTTAAGACATGGAAATATTATGACTATCATACTCACGAACACTACAAGGGAATAATGACGGCTACAATATTGGACTTCCAAAGAGAAATATTTCATAGATGATGTTGATAAAGTCTTTTAATAGAAATCTATATTCTACCTAGAACTAAATGTAATCAAATTAGTAAAAAATAAAATATTAGGAACTTGGAATCCATAGTTAATAAATTATTTAGATTCTAAGCGGCATACTGCTTTAGTAAACCAAAAGGCCAAACTTAAGCATATAAATATATAATATGTTTGATGAAATTTCAATTTAAATTAGCTTTAAAGATTGCAGATATATTGTACAGATACAATAAAAATAGAACCTACAATTTAAAAGTAAAAAATAATATTTATTTTTTAATAGTAAAAATTAATAATAATTGATATGTTATATAACTTAATCCAAAATTCTTTTATTAGTAGCAGCAAAACGATTAATGTTGTCCATATCAATAATTTAAATTCGGTATATAATTAAAAAAGCTAATCCAGTCAACCCTATTCACTCATTCTGCTCTTAACCAACTTTTTAATCTAATTAGCTATCACCAAAGAATTAATAAGCATAAGTTTTATGCGGTAAATAATTAATTTACCTAGGCACTTAAATATTTTAATATTTAAGTTTGTTAATGAAACAAATGCTTATTAATTAATAGCAATAATAATAATAATAATAATATACAATCTGAGTACTGAGCCACGCTCGTATGTAGCATACGGAGTTCCTGTATAGATAAAAAATATAATGTTAATTTATAGTAACAGGTATATAAATATTTTTATATAATTAAAAAAGTTCACTTAATTTTCTAGATATACATTAGCATTGATTAATTTATAAAATCAATTTTAACACCAGAGTTTCCTTAATCATTTTTATTTACACGCAGTGACGGATTGAACGACTGGGATAGGTTAGGTACCGGGGAAATTTCTTAGTGGACCGCTACTCCTATAAAATATGTATTTATCAATATTATTATTGTGAAATTATAAATTAAAAAAAAGGTATTTAAAAATTTAAAAGCTATATTGTATTTAGAAATATATATATATACATAACTTATATAAGGCCATTAGTATACTGGGGACTTTTAAAAATATGATTTTCCCGGGCTGTTTTTTTCTCCCAGTCCGCACTGTTGACACATACCGACTTTTTATAATTTGATTGATACACGACACACGTATTATCACCAAAGTCATTATCTACATGACTTATAAAGTGGACGATCGCCCCCTCCCTTCAGAGTTGCACTTCTAGCGAAATATGTTATATATGTTGTAATGAGTTATTTTACTATTGTGTATATTTTTGACGATCATAAACTTTTGGGTACTAAAAAAGTTTCAATTTTGAACTTTGGAGGTGGGTTAATTGAATCTAGTTAGTACTTTGTCGGGAGGTTAAAACTCAAAAGTAAAATTTCACTGTACTTTTTAAAGTGACCGGGAAACGCAAAAAAAAAACATTAATACAAACATGAAATTTTCTATAAATAGTACAGCTTTCTATAAATGATGATATGAATTTTTATCGGAACGAATTGCTTAAAAATTTCATACTAGGTTCCTTACAAGTTTTTCTACCAATTATAAAGAAATTGTTAAACGGAAAGTAACATACATTTTTATGAGCGTTTTATATTCATATTTTTTAACATTGGTTATTATGTATTGTTAATTATTTATGAAAAAAAAAATTTCACTTGGTTAAAATGTTTGAAAATTGAATCTAAGATTATTTATTTTAAGTTTTAATTAATGTTATAATCATTTTACATTCAAAATTCAAATGTACCTATTATAATATTATTACAAGTGAGGATTTAACTTTGACTATTATGAATTTTTCTATACCTACACATTCACAGTTTCAAACATTAATTTTAAGATAGGTATATCGTATATATTACACATTTACACAATATTCATTGTTTTATGAAAAAACGATATTGACTTGTAAGTTTTGAACAGTAATAAAATAAATGGAACAAATTTTTGATAAAAATTTGATTTATCTGTTGACTATTCAGATATGTTGTTTTACATATGATACAATACATAAATATATATTATTATTATTTAACTAAATTAACACACTTATTTCAGTTAAGTTACTACTTGAATTGGGAAAACATTAGAACTTGTAATTTTTCTACTTCTACATATAAAAATGATAACAAAATTAAATTACCTGATATACATTAATATGTTAAATTTACTTATTGAGAGTAGGTCTAAATTCTAAATGAAGAAAAAGCTCAAAACTTTACTAGTGCTTTAGAAATTTAAGTCTCCACAAGTCTATATATTAGCAATCCATCATATTTGTGTTTTTTTCAATGCTCAAAAACATTATCAGATAACAATCATTAATTTAATTTTGTTTAGTTATCACTTATCAATCATATAAGAAAATGTAATATACTTAGTTACAATATTTATATGATAGTTAGTCCTATGCATTACAAGATATTATGATCGTATAAATTTCCATATTTATCTTAATAATATAATAACTTAGTAAAACAAATACAGATCATTGGTTTGTTTGAATTATAATTTACAGTAAATAATAGTTTTTTAGTAGGTAGCATTTAAGATGAATACACATAATATTGTAATAAAAAAGGAACTGCTTGATAAAACTAGTACAAATCATGCAATTAATTAATAATATGCAAAATTCATAAAAAATATTTGAGTTATATTACACAATATTCACAATAAGAGACTTATAATTTCAAAATATCACATACGTTATAACTTAAAATTAAATCATTGCCGGAATGTCGAGGTTTAAAATAATTTATGCGATAATATGAAAAAGAATCAATTAATTACATAAAATGGAGTTGAGCTTTTAGAAATAAATACAACAGATTTAAGACATGTGTTTGTGTGACATGGTAGAGAATTTCATTAATAGACAAATTGATGTATAGTTTAAGTAAATGTAATTGATTTATGACTGAATATATTTTGAAATTGAATTAAATATTTGGTTAATACATACAAATATACAAACTAAGAAAAAAGTAGTAGTTATTAGAAACATGTAACACAAACAACAAATTTACATATAGTATTTTAATACATATGTATAAAATAAACAGATAAAACATAATAATTTTATAATAACTATATTATGCTATTATTAAAATAATATATTTTATAAACCAAACATAACAGATAATTAGTTGGTTAGAATAGTTGATACACAGTTTATAGTGTAAAATATACTTTTATAAAATTACCACAATATTTCCCTGGTTTGTCCGGCCAAAATTAGTTTAGATGTGTTTTTTGTGTCCTCATCGGTTTTGTTTTACATATTAGCTAACCTATCCTTCAGAATATCATTTGCTTTTCGCCATATTTTTTTTTCTGCAAGCAATTTAATCTCAAAATGTCTTAACAAATCACATTCTTTTTTAGCAGCCAATAGTATGCTATGTTTTGATGGCACACGTCTATTTGTATTCAAATAACTACAAGATTTTCTTAGAATTTCAAACTTTTTAGCTATGCGTTCTCGACATGCTCGTTCTTTGGCATTATGTATAGACCTATCTAGGGGTTTTCTAAACCTCTGTTTAGGTCTACCAATTTGATGTTGAAATTTTGCTAAATTCACCATTTTTTTAGTCCGAGTTCTCTTTTTGATGGTTGGGTAGTTGACATCAAATTCATCAAGGATATTACTATCATAACTGTCATACAAATCTTTAAGAATAAAATAAAATCCAGTTAGTAACAAAATAATTATATAATTTAAATTATCAAAGGCGTGCACATGTGGTTGATGAACACATTATATACCCTCCAACCCCTTTGCCTTTTCTATGATTTCTCACAAATTATCGTTAAAATTTAAAGTCCTATTTTTATTATTATTTTTCTAAGTGATATTTAATTATTTATTTCAGCAAAATTGATTTACAATAAAATACACAATAAGAAATGAAAGTATATCTATTTACTCCCACGCTGGAAGATATACACAGAAAAAATTGAATTGAGTTTGTAAATATGCACAATGTGTAAAATGCAACAATAATGAAGATATAAGTCAAATTATGTATATTTGTTTAAAATTATCAGTTATACTGCATAGTTAGTAAATAAACAATTTATTATGAATGCAAAATCATTGAGTGTAAATTGAATAAAAAATAAAACACATGTTCATAATTAATGAATTTAAGTTTTATATTTAAAAAAATGTTCAAAAATAAGAGTTTAACAGTAAACATATAAAAACAAGTTATGGAGGTATTTTTTAATAATCTTTTAATAATATAATCTTAGAAAATTTGAATGAACATTATCATAAAAAATGTGTCAAAATATTAATAACCATGTTTGTTAACAGTTTAAACAAGCACTCAGGTCTTTTAGGAGTCTACTCAACTAACTGCCATGTGGTATTGTCTAGCAACACTTTAGGCCAAAGGGACTTAATTCAAACAACAAAATATTTATGGAATGTAATTTGATATTACTGTCTACCAGTTTATGTCAAAATGTTCTAATAAGTAATGGCATATATCATGATCAACTGATTCTTCATACATAAGATTAATGGTATATTATTATAACCAACTAGGTACTCATGAGTGAATATAAAAATATAAAAATGATTCTTTTTATTACAGAATCTGAGACTAGTCAAAAGTTCATATCCCCCTCTACCAAAAAAAGTTGTGCATGCCTTTGTATATTATAGTTTATAATTAACAGAAATATAAACACTTACATTCATCTTCGTGTTTTTCATTGACCAGTTGTTTGTGTCCATAATATTTAACTGCTTCAACAGGAATTGAATTGCTATTGTCATTGTCATATATATCGCTCTTTTCATTTGTTTGAAAAATTTCATTCCAATCTTCTTCATTTCCAACAGAAATACTATCGTTATCTTCTGAACTTGAACTACTATTATATAGTTCTTCGATTAATTGCTCTTTAAGTTTTTTTATGACAGGTTCTGGAGGTTCAGGGTTTTTTTTTTCAATGGTCGGTATAAGTTTTAGTTTTGATTCAACATTTGATAAAGGCAGTTCAGTTTGTGTATTTATTTTAATATTTGGTTGAAGTTGATTCTCAACAGCACTTGATCTAGTTTTGTATTTTTTTATACCCACATCAGTCAAATCTTCAAGATTTTTTTCTTTAGTAGTTATTAAAGGTTTAAGTTGTTTTAATCGACTGGTTGATCTAGTTTTATAGCTTGTAACTTTGGTTGACTCAAGTTTAGAGTTCAGTAATTCAGTACTAGGTGAAATTTTTGGTTTAACATTGTGATTTAAATTAAATTTTTCTAAATTATTTGAAACTAATTTGATTTTGGGTTTTAAAATAGTATCATTAGTATTCTCTAAATACTTAAGAAGTTTTTGTCGATGCAGTTTAATATTTAGCGTCATTTGTAATTTACTATCATCGTTTAGGCACAACATTTCAAACCGATTCTGAAAAAATATTAAAAAATTATTATTATAATTTTATTTTCTGTTATTGAAAATAAATAATAGGTAGGTTTAATATTAATGAAAGTTTTAATAATTACATATTTTTAATTAACCTGTATTATATATATTATATTATACATCAGTTAACTACTAAAAATGAAATTTAGTAGAAAATCAACTAGAAAATTAGAATACAATATAATCAGCTAGTTTGATGGGCAAAAGATAACAGATCCTACATTACAAGAGCATATGGAAGTATGAAGTACTTAGAACGGATTGCATGAAATATGAATTTAATGATTCAATAAAACTTTAGTGATTGTTCATGCACAAGTATTTAATAATAAAAGATAAATAAATAGATTACTAAAAAATATTTTACTACTAAAAAATACTAGTCGGTGGATTTTTAAAAATAAGACGAAAATAACCAGTAAGCCGCCATTATAAGAGTGTTATTTTTTTTTGATAACTACAGTTGATAAAGCGACAAATTTATAAGACATTGCTACGTCATATAATGATATGATGATATCGCAGAAGATGAAAGATGACAATAGATATTTTCACGGGTAAAAGGTAATATAAAATATAAATGATTAACGAATAGTGCGATCGCAAATGCATATGGCAACTTTAACAAGAATGTAATATCAGAGAATTTTATTATCGTATTGCACTCACCGACTGCGGTCCTGGACTTCTGGAAGAGGCCCGACTGTCGTGTCACAAATTATTTAATGAATGAATATGATTATTACTATTTAATCTGTGGTCGATTCGACGAGAGTGACGCGTCTGGAGTTTCTGAAACCGATGGATGACGTAGCGAATACTTGAAAATAACACGATGTTTATGGCGCGTGGTGATATATATATATATATATATATAATATTGTAACTGTAACAATAGACTGTCGTGGCTGTTATCACGTGGTGTTGATAATTATTGACGGCGGCTAAACAAACAACTCACACCTGGGAAGGCCGAGGACTGAGGAATGAATGCGACCGATGTGTGCGATCAATGAGCGTGATGTTCACGGCGCGGTTATACAAAAAACTTGGGCCGTGTGGAACGGAAGGCCGCGTGGCCAGTGTCCGAAAACGGGGAACAATATTAAAACTGAACGATTAGTGTTGACAGTTCTATAATTATTGTTCGATAGAGTACCAACAACTCTGGATCGTTTGTCTTTGGATTTATCACGTCATTAATGTATTAGGTTATTTAGCCAAATATAAATATTATAAATTACGAATATAGCGCGTGACACTCTCTATTTGCACCGCAATCGTGCAACCGGTTCGAGAAAGGATGAGTCGGATGAGGTCAAAACGCGTGTTTCTCAAAAACGGAATGTGCCGTCGCCCGTCAGTGACATTGCTGATAATAGATTGTCCGCAAAAATGTAACATACAGCATCGCCGATATGGATTCGATGAGATTTTCAGTTCTGTTAGTTTTAATATTATTATATTATAATATTATGGTACAGTACATGTTCTAAATATGAATTACGAGTGAACATGTGTAATGTGTATGTACACACGTGTCATGTGGACATGTGGTCGAACCTGGTGAACACTGAACTGCCGTCAGACTGAATAGTGATAGTGAATACTGATGTTCAAGCGCAGATTAATAGTCTATTCATTAAATTTGTAATTCAAGTCTGAAACATGCCGTTTGCACGCCGTCGACGGTGGTGTGCAACGTTTTGTAGTTGTTATCTGTTGTCTTGTAGTCGGCCGATGTTGTACGTTTACTCGGTGGTCGTCATGGACGTTCGTAATATTTAAATCTAATAGTGCTGCCGTGTTGGTAGCCTGATGCACGCTTCACAGTGATCACGTTTACTATTCGAAACTCCGGAACGACCGGAACCAAAATACTCGTCCTTGTCGTTTGGTAGTCGATCTGTTTTTGTGAATGTAGGTAATGGTATATATAACGTTTACGGAATTTAATACCGTGGTCCATGGTCGTTGGTAAGTTGGTCACACTTACCGGACGACATGTTTGTTTCAATTGCCGTGTGCGTATATCGCACAGTGCAGTCGTCTAATGCACACAACTACACAAGTTGTAAATGCAAAAATCGGTGTTCGCACCCTGCGGCGCTCATTTAGCGCGGTTCTACGTTAGAATATAATATGATAATGATATATTTCGTTAAAACTAAAAGTTGCTAAAACGTTATATTAGTTATTATTGATTTATTTATCCGCAGTATCACAGGGCACAGGCCTTTGGGAATCAATTTACAAACATTTCAAGTTGTATGCTTAATTATATTATGTAGGAACATGTTACGTGTTGTCTGAATATTTTTATAATAAAAATAGTTTAAAGAAGTGATAATTTAATGTACATTATGTAAGATATAATTTATTTTGAGGCCCTAATCGCCGGGCTTAAGTTCGATACAAACAAAATTTATTTAATATATAATAATATATTATACTATAGGAACTAAAAAGTTTGTGAACGAGTTTTATAGTATTCAAAATTACTAATGCTTCCTGTAACCCGGGTTTTTGAAACATCAGTAAAAATAGTTTTTCCACAATTACCATGTTCAGTTAGAAGGTATTGTGGAATCTTTTTCCCATTTTATTGAATTTAGATAAAAGTGGGTAAAATTGGGCCTAACCTACCAACTTATTGACTATACTACTGTTTAAACTTTAAGTGTAAGCCAATACATTATGATCAGCCTCTAACTATTTATTGTTCAAATGATAATAATACAAAATACAAATTACAATCAATAAGTAATTATTTTTTTTATCATATTTAAATACTTAAATTAATTAATAAATAATTATATAATAAATTAGTCACAATTATATTAAGAGGACTTCGTACTTGTATGTGTTGTTTACGTTTTACTATATTGTATACTATGAATAACATAGACAATTTAAGTTAAATAAAATCTATTCTATGCTGCATAAGTATTACTTATTAGCCTTAATATTAGAGTTTATTTACTTATTATCAAACCATTTAAACTTAAATATAGTAATATAAGATTATTATTTATTAGGGTAGTGTTTCCTAAACTTTTCCCTGCAGGACTCGCACTAGAGATAGTCAAAATTATTGCAGACCCCCTTAATAAAAATAAAAATCAATAATAAAAAATAATACTAATTTTATTGCTTTATTTTCTGAACTAAATTTTCATATTTTTAAGATAAAAAATTTAAAAAATATCGATAAATAGATTATTATTTGTATAATAAATAATTAGTGTGTTCAATGTGATGGATGGTGCGTTGTATTTTCAATTTACATTCGCGAACCCCCTCCGGTACATACGCGAACCCCTAGGCCCTAGAGGTCCACGGACCACAGTTTGGGAAACATTGTATTACAGGGCAATAGAATATTGCATAGGCTTTTATTGATATTTTTATTTAAAATGAGTTAGGTTTACCTATGTAAAATATTAAAACTTTAAAATGCTCATAATTTGCTTTTTCGAGGTGCCGTTAGGTAATCAATTGATTTCTATATAATTTATTCATGTGAACCTTTCCTCTTTTACCATAAATAAATTTGCTTGTTTTAGTTAATAAATATGTATAAAAAAAGTTCATTTTAAAATTGTATAATATAAAAAAAATTATATGTTTTAAATAGTAGGATACTAGTACCTTAACGAAAAAATATTAGGTACTTACATTAAACTTTATTTTATAATAAACACAATGCAAAAAAACTATTATGTGCTGTATGTATTTACTATTATAATTATATTATGCTATAATAGGTATTATATTTTTAATAGTAATAATGCACTTGATACAAATCAAGTTACGTTGAATTTAACAGTTTTTTATGACTTATAGCTTATAAATCTATTGATAGTATTTGATACATGCGTTAAGGTTGACAGTAACTGTTTTGCGTTGTCGAGCTGGTAGTTGATTCGACAACTCGCACCGTACAACGGTTTAAAAATACAAAATTTATATATTAAGACAAGAGTCAATAAATAGGGTAGCTTATAATATAGGTAATAGGACCAAACGCCGATCTATAAGTATTAAATGAATGTTATGAATGTATAATATTTAAATATTAATTGATATTGAGTATATCTGTATAAATATGCTGTGACTATCTAGACGTCTCTTAACAGTACACACATATGCACGTAAATAATAATATAACATTATAAAAATTTTATAATAAAAACTTATCAATCTCCGATGATGGTCGATGCTAACGACGGCGGCAACTCGTCGATGGTTAATTTGCTGTATTGGCCGTTACCACTAATCAGCCTGGCAGTCAAAATTGATGCACAAGAACCCCTTGAATGACCCTTGTAATCGCCGAATATAGATATGGAATTATGTTGTGATATATAGATTTATCTATAAATTGATGTTGGCGACGGGACACTTTACGTATATATATATATATATATATCGCGGACATATAATTATACTATATAGAATGTAATAATTAAGGCTAGGATTTTGATACAAAGGCATCTTTTTTCTGGTGTTCGAAACGTTGATTTGTAAGTATAAAATGTGTTTTGGACGATACTGATTATTTTAAAGTAATTTTTTTTTGTATTTTCTTGCATTTTTTGACTAAATCAATCTTAAATGCATTTTTAGGATATCTTTTTGGCGATTTTAAGGCATTTTCTTAGTTTTTAGAGTATTTTTCACAATTTGTTCATAAAATGAACTAAAATTGTTGCGATTAACAAGTAACTTTGAACAAACTGCCGACAGTATGAATAATAAATTATATAGCAGTATAACACGACAATTTATCGTCGATAGCAAATATTTTATCTTAGCTAGGTCTTTCTGCTAACGATTAAGAAAAAACAGAAGAACATTCAACTAAACAAATAACAACGTACCTACTATTAAAAATAAAATAAAATAAAATTACACTATCCTTGTTTATTTTAACATTTTTTTTCCAATTTTTAAATGCGTTTTTAAAGTTTTTTAAGTCATTTTTGTATATTTTAAGGGCATTAAAATCCCAGCCCTAGTAATAATAATCCAATGACCACGACACGATTTTAAAATTCACTCTACTTAAAATATATTATGGAGTCGAACGAAAGTGACAAAAAATAAACGCGCACGACCACAATGTATACGTCAGATCGCAGTGAATCCAGCTGGGGTATGTCGACAGCCAAATACTACGACCGATGACCGCGACACGACGTAATCACTTCACAATATAAACGTAATCGAAGGGTGATTGACGTTACACGTCGCACGTGCCAAAACGATTTGCCAATAGTCGGACTAAAAACGAAACGGACACGACCCCGACACTCAAACGCTGACGGAGACGAACTGAAGACAGATAAAATGACGAGTGATCGCGGTGTCGACAAAAGCCGTGATTATAGAAGAAGGGGTCGTCGAAAAGTTTAATACACCACGCGATTACGCGGATCAGTTCGGACCGAAAAAAGGCGGCGGCGTGAACAGTAACTTAAATTAATAAGTTATTTTGTAAACGAGCTTTAATATTAGAAATGAAACACGGTACGGCTGCGTTAAACTAAACGCAAAAAATCGCTAAATTTGTTTTGGCACACAAGGCACGGCCAATCCATTAAGTAATAAATATATACTCCTGAATCTTGATTGCCAAATGGCCGAACGATTTTTACGGAGTCTCATACCTGTTGATAATTAAGCCGATCCATTATACACTCAGAAATTGGCGTACAGATATTAGCTACCGTCGCAGATACGATGCACCATGCCACCGCAATCTCCAAAAGGTCGCGGTATTACGCTCGCTTTGCCAACATATGTAGTGTTCCTCAATGATAAGCGATTATTAAGCACGATATGGCAATAATTATCTATTTCGTGATGTTAAAAATACAAATTTATGGACTAACGAATAAAATCTTACAGTTTATTTCAAAAAAATGTTATTTGAATAACTAAATAATCTAAATAACCTAAATGATGGAAGGAATACTTAGGAACCTCATCGAATCAGGGAGAAACACTTAGAAAAAACGTAACAAGTAAAGAGAATAATATGATAATTATAAATTGAATATTATGAGTTATTAACTAGTTTTTGGATTAGTTAACCGAGTGGAGGGGGCTAATTTCGACCACATCTAATTACCTTATTAGTTATTGGTGGTACCTAATATATTATATAAACGCAAATGTAAAATAATAACTTATATATTGGAACAAATGGATAATAGTATATTTGATGTAAAAATAAGTCACGTTATAATATTTTAGATTATTGACTGCTGACTATTGTGGTATTTGCGTGGTCTTTTTTATCAAATCGTTCCACCTGAAGTCGAAAATGCGATGTGGTGCAGCTCTGCTCGTCCGAATGCGATTTACAAGAGGTATCATAAACACATCCGTCTCCATATCTGTGCAAAAATAGAACAGTATATTAATTACAGACATATACACAAACACATGACTCATTATATATATATATATATATATATATTTGTATATATTATATATGATTTTATTGTAGTCGGTACTCGGTTTAGTATCACACTACAAGGGACGGATAAAAGTCTTATGAAATAAACTTAGTGATTAAGGTTGACAGGCCATTTCTACTCAGAAATTTGTTGTATAATCTATTATTGAGTTCAAATTTAACACGTTCTTTACAGTGACCCACTCAACACCTACTGTACAGCACAATAAGTACACACTTATTACACCTACCTAATTTATTACTAAGACAATTTACTATCTATACTAAAATATTGCAATATTCATACTTAAATAAAAAAATAAAATGTTTGGATAATTTGATTGAGTTGATGGTGGGCGGGATGGGGGTAGTTCTCTAAATGGAAAATAATTTATACTCAAAATTATGAAATTACAAATTCTAAAAAGTTGGTTACAAATAGTTACAAATTGAATATTTTAAGTTACTAAATGTTTTAGGAGTTGAAGGGATAGTTTCTTGCGAAAAAAAAGTTTATTCAAAACATGAATTTTAATTAGCATTTATTTTGTTAATTATGTGAATTTTTAACTTTAAAGTTGTATGATGTAATTTGAAAATGTAGCACGAGACAGATAAAAAAGGCTTGTGGGCCGCCAGTTGTCCACAGCTGTACTAGATGATCCTTCAACGTTGTATAACTCGCAGACTTTTTATTTTTGTTTTGACAATACTATATTTAAGCAAAAACTAACAAGAGCACTAACGTAACCTAACCCAACACTGTAACATATGAAAATGGCTTTGAGAGCTTTTGTCTTTTCGAAATGACCGAGTATTTATACTAACAAATGTACAATCATTTTATAAAATATAAGAGTATAAGTATAGTCGATTGATTAGCACAATCGATTAATATATTGTTTGTGTATAATAATATAATATCAATGACACACGTATAATGTATATTATAAGTCACAAAATATGAAATTATTCAAGTAAATTAAGTAAAATTTCATTGCATTTATAACTTATTATAAACCGATCAAAATGTCTATTACTATATTTTAAGGTATCTATCCAATATATTGAGAAATTTTTTTTTGAGGAGGAGAGGAGATATTGCAATATTATGTGCCCACACTCAGAAATCGATGATGTGATATACTACAAGTGCCTACGATTGGAGTCTGAAGCGTAAGGCCAAGGTACACCACCGCGTTTCTTAACGACCGTCGTTTTCTCCGACCTTCGGTCCGCCCCGCTCGCGTTTATCCATGCGACAATCGGCGACAGTGTCGTGGACCTGAACAGCAAGCTGTCGTCGTCCCGGACCGTGGCTAACTTCGGTACGGCCTTGCAGTCGGCGCACCGGAGCTCATGAATTTCGTCGGGGTCCGCGTCAGTGGTGTCCAGCCCCGAGAGCTGATTCGACAGCTCCGGGAAGAAGTTTGTGTATGGGTAATCGTAGTCCTCGCCGACGTCCATCGTGGCAGACGTGACTAGCAACAGCACCAAGTAAGCCACAAACTCAGACGATCCACGCATGATAATGTATACCTATAAGAATGTAGAATGTGGGCCGAGTAGTAATCAGTATTTATATTATAACTGCCACAGTAGATTGATAATTGATAACGCTCAAAATTATGATAATATATTATTACGAGTATATTATTATATGCTAATAGTAATATAGGTAAATAATTATTTAATAATGTTGGTGTATTTTATACTTTCAAGTTTATTATAATAATTTGAAGCGTTGTATTATAAATATTTGTTATTTTATTTAGATACTTTCGTCGAATTTTCGTTTGCTCAATCCGTTATTCATTTTTTTTCTTTATTCCCGTTTCCTAGATGCTTTTTAAATTATAATGAACCGTCAAATGCACTTTTAGTTTATTATAATTATAAAAATATAATAATTATATCATGTACTATTTCTATATTTTTGTTTTCTTAACTCGTCCTGTACCAAAAATTAAATAAATATAATTTTATTCTGTAAAAAAGTTATGCTCACTAATAGATTGTTGTTGACCTATGCAAATTATTGCATAAGAACTAAAACTGAATGTACGCTAAATGTGGACGTATTAGCAATCAGTCACTCGTTGCAGTTTCACTGTCGACTGTTGTACTATTTAAACTTATTATTATTGATAATGGTTGCTATGGTAATAGTCAGAGCTGGCGCGAGCTATTTTGCCGCCCTGGGCTAAATTATAAATGCCGCCCTATATTAAAACTAAATAAATAAAAAAATTAAATAATCATATGATACAAATTATGCAATAATATTGGTTTATCTAAAAACATTTATTTTCATAGTCATAATATTTTTGTCATAAACATAAAATTAAAGTATAAAATAGTCTTTACATGACACATTGATATAAATATACTAATAATATTAATACAATTATAAAATTGTGAAAGTTTTAGCTAAAATGCCGCCCATGGGTATTTATAGACAAAAATTGCCGCCCTGGGCTATCGCCCAGGCCACCGTTGTCTTTCGCCAGCCCTGGTAATAGTTAGGTAAACTATAAAATATGATATCAATTTAAGTTTCACGTTCATAGTTTATTATAAAATAAATAATCATTATAATTGCGTATATTTCTATCATTATTGCTTAATATAATCTAGTAATTGAATTGTGATTTGAGAGAGACGCAAAGGACGGATTCCATCTTCTTTCAACTTGTTAAAAATATTTTAACAAATCACTTTTAAGTATATTCTGATAATTATTAACCATTGAGAGTCATCATTTACGCAAATTTGTTTACACTTGTCAATTTTTCATTCTTCTTCTATTTCTTTTTCTAATTTATATGTACATTATAGAAAAATACAGATTGATTTATATTTTGGCATTTTATAAATGTAATAATTTTAAAATAGTTTTAAACATTTTATTTTGTTGAATTGTATTTGTTTTACTTATAATTTTTGTGTATTTAAATAAAATATCTATACATAGATATAAATTTAAAATTATGTTATTACACGGTGTATAAAAAATGGCGGAGATAGGGGCAAAACTTTCACAGATCTGGTAACCCTTCAGAACGTATGTGCCTCCAAAAATATTTGCATTTATTCATATGTGTGTATAATATGTATACTTTTAATACTGATGACAGCTATCAATGTTTAGTGATAGTGATTACATGGTTATGTAAAGCCAACTTGTTTTGTAGTTACATTGCAATCTGCAGTTATGTATTTGGAATGGATGTACACTCTGAGTTGCTATGAGACGGCTATACAGTTTGTAAGTATACTTATGAGTTATGTGATGAATGATTGTATAAAGCTTTATCATATTAAACATAATAACTAAGATTCTAAGAATATTGAAATTAAGCCTGGTTAACAGGTATGTCCGTCTGTCGTGTCGTGTTCCTAGTATAATATATGATATTCTGATGGGTCGTTGTAATCATTGAATCATTTATTTACCACGATTTATCTTACCGAGCTTAACTTTTGCAGAATATGACACGGCAGACGATGTAAGTTGTGAACTCGGTTTTACTTATTTAAAGAGCCTTACCTATCTATCACTGTTACGGTTAATATATTTATAGGGTCCAACGACATTTCCTGGACATCTTATATATAGGTACTTATTTAACAAGTTAAAGGACATCTTTTGAGATCTGCCGATGTTACATGATCCTTAAATGTATATTTGCTATCATGTTTATTATTTATATAATAAATAAAAGGCGCTTTGAATGTAAACACCGATGTAAGCGGATTACTTCATAAATATTTTATAACATACGGTTAGGCATCCAAAACATACAATAAGAGTATCTAAATTGTATATTTGTATAAATATATAATCCTCAAGTCCCACCTAAAGTATTCTGGATTTTTACGTATACGTTGTGTAAATTTGTTCGATGAGATTAAGTAACAGAATTATTGAAATATGTATATAACTGCATATGAAAACGACGGTTGTCATATGATCGCATTCTTGTCGTAATAAATCGCAATGTTTTTGAACAGTGCGGCAGTGCGCTTAAATATAAGTACTATTACTACTTAATACCTTTATCTATAAGTAGTTAATTAAAAAAATTAAATGTGTCGACATTCCACTGTATACTGCCCTTGTGTTTTCTAATACAAATTTCAAGTTGAACTGTGATATTGGTCTATCTATGAACGTCAATCAACGTATTTAATGTAGGAAGGAGCATAACAAAGTAACAAATAGATATCATTATATATTGTTTGTTTGTTTTTTTAAATAAAAATGTCTATTTAAAATTACATACGTGATTTAGTGTTTGTGACTTGTGTGTGTTAAATTTGAAATATTTGGGTCGTCTAAAAAACGATATAGCCAGATTACCACGCACGTCTAATTAAAAATTCGTATCGCAGAAAGTTAATGATAAGCTACCGTGCGTGGTACGAGCACAATTTATAAATAATGTACCTATAATTATAATATTATTGTACGAATAGTATACATATTATTTTTAATCACTTATTAATTTTTAATAAAATTTGTTCTTTCGAGAATCATTTATTTTACTTCTTAATATATAAAAAAAAAAATAATTAAATACCCACTGTATATAACATACCTAAACAATGTTATTTTAAAATCATCATACTTGATATTATTTAAATAATAAAACATTATTTCAGATACATGAATATAAATTATAACACATGTGTTAATATGACTTGTTGAAATAGGTAATAAAAAAGAAGTAATTTACACAATCGTTTAAGACAATGTTTAAATTGTAATTTATAAGTAAGATTTATTTTCTTTAACAAGTTAATTATTGAACTTTATCAATTTAAAAATCAAACAAAAAAAATGCATACAACCATTTGATTATTTCTGCTGGTCTGGTAATTACTACACAAAATTCACTAAACCATTAATAAACAGTATATACCAACAGGTCAATAATATTAATTATTATGTGTAACTGTACTTACTGTAGGCCAGTCGATTTCTAGAATAAAACAAAATATATAGTTTGTATCAAAGCCAGTGGCGCAAGTATAAGGGTCTTTAGCACCCCGCATTTAAAAGGTCTAATAATTGCGTCCTTAGGCATGCGTACGGATACAGCACATGGCAGTGGCGTATATAGGTTTTTATTTCGGAGGGGGCTGATTATATATTTCGATTTTTTTAGGGAAAGGAGGGAGGAGACACACTATTTGGACAAAAATTGCTTGAATACTACAAGATCTTTCAACTTTCTTTAGACCATCAGAGTAATAAGAAACTCAATCATTTTTTTAATGAATTGTAACATAAAAAAAAGTAATAACTAAATTTTTATAAACAATTTTTTATTAGAGACACTCAAAATTAAACTAGAATACAATCAATACTAATATAATGCATATAATTAATAGTTAATACCTAACCTACGCCACTGACTACCTATATTATTACTATCTCACCACTACAATTATTAATTTAATTCTAGAAGTCATGAGCTAAAATTACATATACTAATAGTTTCCGTCTACCGAAATCGTAAACAACCAACAACCAATATTTGTTTTATTTATATAACTTAAATAATAAATTGTGTTACATAATCATTAATAATCGTCAAAATACTAACACATTCAACACGCTATACTTTTATTCTAAATTATCGCATAAGCGACAGTTTCATTCATGACGTCATGATATCAGTGTCGTGTCAAATTTTTGGAATTATCCCCATTTCCCAACCATAAGACATATTCCATGTCAAAAATAACAATTTTTAATAATTGCGTTTTTCATTTCGGGAGGGACCTGGGCCCCCTCGCCCCCTCATAAATACGCCACTGGCACATGGAGCCTAAGCTGCATCTGCTTTTTCTGTAATGTCAACATTTTTTAATTTTTTTTAATGTTTTTGCGTGTTCATGATACGATTATACTCTATATGTTTAAAATTAAAACAATTATAAAATAGATAATCATTTTTGGTATTACAAATATACAATGTACCTTTAGGCTAAACATTTGCTGGAAATGTTCCTTAAAATAAAAGTTATCAACAGACATCAACTAAATAGAAATAATATGTGCTGCACCTGATCGGGAACTCAGCGCATGCCTATGATCAACGCATTCAAAGCGTATATCAATACAAGTATAGGTAATGATAGGTAACTGCAACATAACAATAATAACTTTAGGAGTTGTTTTCATGCAAACCAAGAAATTTAATTAGTATAGTTAAATAATAATAATTAAACAATCACAAGATAATCCATGTCCCATATCTAGTGGTTGATATACTACACCACTTAGAGCACATAACTCACCAGTTGCACGCTTAATTCACATATAAATTAAGTTTATGAGTATTTTTCTTTATATAATCCATTACTTTAACAAATTTTATTAGGTAAAATAATTAACCATTTGCTATGGTTGAATAAAATAATAAAATAGTGATTTGTAAATATATAAAATATAATCAACTGCTTTGATTAAATTAGCAAAGAGTAAAAGCAAATAATAATAAATTGGTTCTTTTATT